CCACTTTACATTTATTTCCTTCTCACATCTTGTCTTGATCCATTCATTCGTTTGTGAATATTGACTTCGAAGATATACTACCACAAATCCCTTCTTTTCCTGGGCATCAGCACCCCGAGGTCCTTCCACAAATCGAATATCAGCCGCTTTCGGGCGTCACCAAAGTCAACACGTCCCGCACATTTCTAAGCAAACATTCGGCATTCTGACATGACGAAACCCACTCCAGACTGAACAAATAATCCATAACGAATTATCCCCGGCGGAAGCAGGCCTTCTGTTATTAACCTTCCTTCTTCAAATACTTGTTGATTTTTAAGTTTGTTCCCCATTAATCAACTTGCTCATTCGATAAAGACCCTTGTCCGATGCGACCACCCACGGTTGATACATGCAGCTGACGGAACGCATAGTAATACGGAGTGCACCGATTATTCCGATACGATATTGATACATAAGTCTACCTACCCTCCCAGCTGCTCCCAGCTTGTACAGCTGTAAACTGTAGGAATGGCTCCAAAATATTTGAAGGTTTCTACGGGAAGCACAGGCTCGAAGAGTCTTACGACACCAACCGCGCACATGGCAACAACAACTGTGAAGGTTGGTGGCATGACATGCGGGGCGTGCACATCTGCGGTAGAATCAGGATTCAATGGTGTGGATGGCATTGGAAATGTATCAGTGAGCTTGGTAATGGAGAGAGCTGTAATTATTCACGACCCAGAAAGAATACCAGCCGAGAAAATACAAGAAATTATTGAGGATCGCGGTTTCGATGCAGAAGTCCTGGCTACGGATTTACCATCTCCCATGTTCGATAGAGATGAACACGACGACGATACCAACGACAATTCTGACGATGACGAGTCAAATGGTGCGCCCATAACTACAACAACGTTGGCCGTAGAGGGAATGACATGTGGGGCTTGCACTTCAGCAGTGGAGGGGGGATTTACGGCTGTTCCGGGAGTGAAAACTTTCAGTATATCGTTACTTTCAGAAAGGGCAGTGGTCGAGCACGACACTACGATATTGACTGCGGAACAAATTGCAGAAATCATTGAGGATAGAGGGTTCGGAGCAACCATTGTCGAATCAAATACAGCTACCCCTCCTTCACGAACACGTAAGTCGCGCCGCGACAGTACTTCGAAGAGAGAAAAGGTCGCCACTACTACTATTGCTATTGAGGGAATGACTTGCGGTGCTTGCACATCCGCGATTGAAGGTGGATTTCAGGATCTCGAGGGTCTTGTGCAGTTCAATGTCAGTTTACTTGCAGAGCGGGCCGTAGTTATTCATGACCCCTCCAAACTATCTGCTGAGAAGATTGCCGAGATTATCGAAGATAGAGGGTTCGATGCCAAGATTATATCCACACAATTGGGTTCCAGTCAACAGTCGGCAGCTACCACATCACAGTTCAAGTTATTTGGAGTAGCATCGGCTGCTGATGCGACCGCTTTGGAAACCAAACTTTTATCACTACCCGGTGTTAATTCTGTAACAATAAGTCTCGCCAAGAATCGGCTAACTATTTCTCATCAACCAAATCTCGCTGGGCTGCGAGCTCTCGTCGACCTCATCGAGTCTCAAGGTTACAATGCTTTGGTCGCTGATAATGACGACAATAACGCCCAACTTGAATCTCTTGCGAAGACTAGAGAGATAACTGAATGGCGTACCGCCTTCAGGACTTCTCTGAGCTTTGCTATTCCAGTCTTTTTAATCAGCATGGTATTTCCTATGCTAATCCCTTTTTTGGATTTTGGTAGTTATGTTGCCTTCTTCCCTGGATTGTATCTCGGTGATATCGTTTGTTTAATTCTCACGATACCCGTTCAATTCGGCATTGGAAAGCGTTTTTATGTTTCTGCATATAAATCTATGAAGCATGGTTCACCTACGATGGACGTATTGGTTGTTCTTGGAACATCTGCTGCTTTCTTTTTCAGTGTTGCAGCTATGATAGTTTCTGTTCTTCTTCCCCCTCACACTCGGCCAAGCACTATTTTTGACACAAGCAGTATGCTTATTACTTTTATCACTCTGGGACGATTTCTTGAAAACCGAGCAAAGGGCCAGACCTCGAAAGCACTTTCTCGCCTTATGTCTCTGGCTCCGTCTATGGCAACCATTTATGCCGATCCAATCGCTGCAGAGAAAGCAGCTGAGGATTGGGATACCAAAGAATCAAAAGCCGATCACGCTCAGGAAGGAAATGCTACAGAGGAAAAGGTCATCCCCACTGAACTTATACAAGTTGGCGATATTGTAATTTTACGACCCGGTGATAAGATTCCTGCTGATGGTACTGTCACCCGAGGTGAGACTTACGTTGATGAAAGTATGATTACCGGCGAGGCGATGCCAGTATTGAAAAAGAAGGGAAGTCTACTCATTGGTGGTACAGTCAATGGTGCTGGTAGAGTCGACTTCCGTGTTACACGTGCTGGTCGAGACACTCAATTGAGTCAGATTGTGAAGTTGGTTCAGGACGCACAAACTACTCGGGCCCCAATTCAACGACTGGCTGATACCATTGCTGGCTACTTTGTTCCATTCATCCTTTGTCTCGGATTTCTTACATTCTCAATTTGGATGATCCTTAGCCATGTCCTGTCGCATCCACCAAAGATTTTCGTGGATGAAAAAAGTGGTGGAAAATTCATGGTTTGTGTTAAACTTTGTATCTCGGTCATCGTTTTTGCCTGTCCATGCGCTTTAGGTCTTGCAACTCCCACTGCTGTGATGGTAGGGACCGGTGTGGGTGCAGAAAATGGAATTTTGGTCAAAGGTGGTGCTGCTCTCGAGACGGCTACTAAGATAACACAAGTTGTCCTTGACAAAACTGGCACAATTACAGAGGGTAAAATGAGCGTTGCAAAGATCAACTTGGTTTCCGCCTGGAAGAACAATGAATCACGTAAGAGACTATGGTGGACAATCGTTGGCCTTTCCGAAATGGGCAGTGAACATCCTATCGGTAAAGCTATTCTCGCTGCTGCCAAGGAAGAACTTCGAGTCGGCCCCGAAGGCACTATTGATGGGAGCATTGGCGATTTCGAAGCTGCCGTTGGTAATGGAATCAGCGCTTTAGTCGAGCCTGCTGTTAGCAATGAACGTACTCGTCACAGAATCTTAGTCGGCAATGTTCGCTACCTAACAAACAATAATGTATCTGTACCCCAAGATGCCATTGAGTCTTCTGAGGAAGCAAATGTCAAAGCTGCTGGATCATCTAAAACTTCATCAGCAGGTACAACCAATATCTTCATCGCTATTGACGGATCTTATTCTGGCCACTTGTGTCTTGCGGACACCGTGAAAGATAGCGCCGTCGCAGCTATTGCCGCACTTCATCGTATGGGTATCAAAACTGCAATTGTCACAGGTGATCAACGTCCAACCGCTCTTGCAGTTGCACGTATCGTCGGAATACCACCAAAAAATGTTCACGCTGGAGTTACCCCTGATCAAAAGCAGGATATCATTCGCAAGCTCCAATCTCGTGGAGAATGTGTTGCAATGGTAGGAGATGGAATCAACGATTCTCCTGCTCTTGCCACAGCAGATGTTGGCATTGCTATGGCAGGAGGTACTGATGTCGCTATGGAAGCAGCAGACGTTGTTCTCATGAGACCAAATGATCTTATGGATATTCCTGCGTCTATTCAACTTGCCAGATCGATTTTCAATCGTATCAAGCTTAATTTAGCTTGGGCATGCGGTTATAACATCGTTGGTCTTCCGTTTGCCATGGGCATCTTCCTTCCTTTCGGACTACATCTACACCCAATGGCAGCAGGTGCAGCAATGGCTTTCAGTAGTGTGAGTGTAGTATGCAGTAGTTTGCTATTGAAGACATGGAAAAGACCTAGGTGGATGGAAGATGCTTTGTTGGAAGAAAAGGGACAACTGAGAAAGAGAGGTCAAGGTTGGGGTTTCGGAGGCTGGAGTGGAAAGGTTACGGATGCTTATAGAGCTGTTGTTGGAAGGGGCAGAGGTGATGAAGGGGGTTATGTTCCTTTAAACACTCTGGAACCTGTATAGGTTAGAGTTGGATATTGAATTGAATGGAAGAGTATTGGATTTAATTTGTTATTGCGAGATATCCTCTTTTGGTGTTGAGGCGTTATTACGAGTTTACCAGCGAAACGTATTCGTTATGAGTTATGGGATGGTTAAAGCTTTTCACTATTCTGTGTATTGTACAATTCTAGTTTCTTTCTTGGTCTAGACCTAGACGTGTAAAGAATATAAGAGAAACCCAATCAGCACAAGATAAGATCCGAAGTACTATGATGATAAAGACTGATTCCTCATTCTCTCACACACTTGCATGCTTCATCTAGCATTGATGAATATCGCAATGTGACCGTAGTTCCAAACGAAGAAGCAAAATTTTCCCAATCAAGATGTATTGCAATCTTGACCTCCATTCCACCATCTAAAAACAGGCAATAGAATCCAAGTTTTCATCCCGAATAGAGTATCATCGTGCTATGTATCACCCAGCAACTAGCAACTACGGACATCTGGATTCTCTCAATTTGATTACCTTGATGGATTATCAATCCTCTCTATTGTAAATTTGTACTTCTTTTCAAAAGCGAGATACGTAGTGTTAGGATATTAGTCTTATGCGTGTAAATATGGTACCCCATACAATGTGTATTTAGCTAGTTAGATTCGGGAGGTTTGGTAGTGAGAAAATTGTAGTTTGGAGGTAGAGGAGGTATGGAGCTCATAGTGGCTTCACCTATTTGTCATTGGTGAGTTGATACCTAGGTACTCACTTCTTATGTGTGTGTATTGGTGATGAGATGTACGCACGAGAAGATTTTAGCGAGTCTCTCTGGAAGTTTGACGGTGCTCGATTGCATTTCCTCGATTTTATCTATGAGAAGCTTTGTTGTTATGGTAATTAGATGATTTATTTGACATTTCATAATACATATTTGCCAATTCGAAAGTTTGTAATTGGAGTTGAATTGGAAAGATTGAGTTACGGAATTTGCTAGCTATGCTATATAAATCTTTCGAGTTGCACCCTAGTATTTCCTCCCCTGATATATACCTCTTGTCCCTAGCTGCCTTATATACTACCAATACACAATCTTGGGATTCTCATCTAGAAATGCCTGATTCTGCGTCACCGGTTTCATTTATTTACTACCTTTCTCGACATCGATATCAACATTCTCTCGACTCCCCACTGCTTCAGGTGTAACCCCTCCACTAGCATTACTACCTACTGCTGTCTCTGCGTCAGCCTCCCCATCCTCAACTTTGATATTCCTCTCCGGAAATAACTCATCATCCCCTTCAACACTCCACTCTCTCCATTCCCCCTTGAAGCCCCTCATCCACTCCCACCTAACTTCTCCCGCACCTTCTTTACCTTTCAACGGCATCCCTCCCAATCCCCCTTTCCTGAAATCTCCCTGCACCTTTGTTCGGTTCGGAACGATAAACCTCCTATCCACCCTCATGACCGCAAATAAGAAAAGCACCACAATCTCAATCCCAAAATCAAAGATATAAAAACATGCTTTACCATGATACCACGCGGGATCATCGATGGCTCTCGGTACATATGCCGTCCCTGCTCTGAAAGCCGCTCCGAGAGTAAGCAGTACCGATGTTCCCAGTACCAATCGAATTTTCGTTCTCAATTTCCCGGTCCCAAATTTTTCTACCTGGTTCCGAGGGAGAAGCAGCCGTAAGGCCAGGAGTGGAATTGGAGCGAATGCGAAGATGGCAAAATACGTATTAACAACCAATACTATAACCCGATCGGTCCACAAAATATGTGGATCTAGTGTAAAGAAATTCTCGACAAGAACCGATATATTTATGATCAATCCTGCAAACAGACTCACATACCCTACGCGAAAACAAGTCCGGACCGATTGTTTCCATGCCCACGGATGATATGCCCTCAATAATCGACTTGTGAAAATGATATTGATGAGGTATAACAATATTGTGCCTGCAGCGACGAAAACTTGAGCCGCGAGCGCGAGACGGATGTTGGAGGGGTAGGATGCCCAGATGATACGAAGAGCGCAGGTTATGACGCGGGAAAAGGAAAAGCCGAATGCCATGCCAGACATGAGGAATTTTTGGCCGCGGCGGAAGTTTATCTGGAGGAGGGACATGTGGATGATGGAGGAGAGGAGGAAGAGGAGCATAAATATTGTGGTGAGGGGTGTATCGATTAGGTGGGTGGGTGTGAGGCCTATGACGGCGGATTTTGGGGGGTAAGGTGGTGACATCTTGATGGTGTGTTAGTTTTGTATTTGGTGGTCAGAAGGGAGATTGTGTAGAAGTGGCAGGAGGTGGAGAGAAGGAGGATAACGTTGGGGGAAATGATTGATGAGAGGGACATATAAGGGTATGAAGGGGAGTGAACTTACATTCATAGTATTTGAGGCAATTTGGCTTCTCAATTGAAGAGGAAAGAAATCTCCACGTGGTTTACACAACGAGTCGATACTTTCAGACCTCTTTCCTCAGAAACGTTCTGTCGGATCCTATCGTTCCGTCGACACGACAATCACATACGCTCTTACAGCAATGGAAGTGAAATACGTTTTATGAGTCCAAGCTCTTATTTCAAACTTCACCTTAACTTTACCGACAGACAAGATGATAAAAAAGCAGAGATGAAAGAAAACTTGCAGACTCTTTAATCTAAAGTAGCACAAGGTAGAAAGAATGTCATGAAGCGGAACTACCACATCTTATAAGATACACCAGCTCCTTGATAAGATATTGAATCTGTCTAGTAGTAATCTCTGGTTGCCTTGCACCTCGATACACAACATTCGATATTTTTGTAGCCATCTTTCGTACCGTGTCAATCCTCCAACCAGGAAACGGAATTCAAGACTAAAGATACATCAGTCCGCAATTATAAATCTAATTGCCATTTCCATATTCACCTCCGCTCGAGTTCCCCTACCTAGATGCCGTCTGCAACTCGAGCTCAGCCTCGATCCTCACCATATAGCTGTTGGTCATATTATCATTCCCAACCAACAGTGAATACAACAAAGAAATCGGAATTTCGCTCTTACCGATGACCGATTTTCATATATATTTTTATACTTCACCACAGGACTGTTAGTTCTTGATTGGTTTGTCCCGTTTTCTCCACGAGAGGATTTCATGTTGTCCATTTTCATCCTATTTCTTACAGCTAGAACCAGGGGTCAGGCGAAAAATAGATCCCGAGTACCGACACCTACTTCATACACTCTTCCCGATACCCCCGCTCACGCCGCTGAATATTAAGCATCGGGGCGTTCAGATTAAGCCATCATCTGAAAAATCAAAGATCTACGTAAAAAGCCCTGGCTGAATGGGCAAAAGCTTTAATTACTAGGTATGCAGATTGATTTTCGTGAGGAGGCGTTCTTGTGCGAGGGTTGAAGCATTTGCCAGCTATCTTGTATCGTTTTGCATCTGCTGTGCTAAGGTTACATCGCTAATGTTGGGCTCCACTGATACGAATACCGAAATATCTTGGAAGTGGTAAGGTTAGGATTTGATGAAGTACAAAAGGGGGAATTTGGAGGTATCGGACACGGCTGTGACTGTATGTGGCATACTTAGCCCCAGGACCCAGAGGCCACCGAGTCGAGTTGGTGAGTATATAAGCCAACTAAGACTACAAACTAGAGAGGTATCCTTTACGATTTGGCCTATGTCAGTAGATGAGGGTTGGAGATTTGGTCCTGAAATTCTTGAGCATTGAATCGGGAATAGAGAGACAATTTGCCAGAGATACTTGTTACTTGCTCAATCTCGCCGGTGATAAGTAGATATACGTTTAATGCTGACTCCCAAACAATTGCGATATACCTCTGAATACCTGTGACTATGTGTATTCAGACCCCGAGGCTAAACGTACTCACCTCCATGTGACTAAGGTTGGGTTTCATACCCAAAGGCCTACTAGACTGTGGTAGCTGTTGCAGAGAGTCAAATCCGCAGGCATACTTAGGTTTCTCGGGTAGAAATTGGTGTGATATTTGTAAATTGGCTATTCGACGAACTAGCAGGCGACTAGCAGTCAAGGTTCGAGCTGGCTACCGGTTGAACCAATTCTGTTAGGTACATTTGCGATGAAGAACATAACAAGCATGTGGAAGCTGATTCTTTGAAGGGATAGTTGTTCTAAGTCCAAATGCTTCAAAGACTATTGATACCTATCGAGAGAGATATATGCTATATTGAGGCTGTTTGAAAAAGACAATGCTTTTGAGAAGGAAGCATATGCTTAGCGATATCTCCCCCTTAATCGATGATTTATGTTTGCCGATAAGATATCTCGGGACTAGATTGCTGTTTGGCTTGGACGTCGAGATTAGAAATCCAATCCGCGATTCAAGGGAAGTGAGGTATATTGAGGACGCAGCGAAATGATAGTCTGGTAACTATGGTTACATTTTTGTTTGCCTACTGATAATCTCTAGATGAGGGAGTACACACCGGTATAATAATCAGGATCATTCCATGACTGAGAGGCACTCTTCTATTGATATAGAACATCCAATTTGGACCCAGAGACGATTTGGTTGAATGTCAAGAGTTCGATAGCCATGATAGAGAAGAAATATGAAACTATAGAAGCTGAAATATGCTGTACGACTTTGGGTTGGTCGGCATCCCTTACTTCTTGAGCTTGGAGGGAATCTCGTGGGAGTTTGGCTGATGGCAGAATAAAGGCGGTGTACGTCGCCGTTGTGACTTATGACGTTTTTAGCCTGTATCCTTGCACTATTTTATGCACCCAGGCGCTCCAAGCACAAACCAAAATGCGACAAGCTCCATCTACTACAGGACATGACTTCTAAACATCCGTACATGCGAATTTTATTGATATGATTATAAGTTTGAATATAACTTCACTCCTGTCGAAACCTCAATCGATCTACAATTCCGAGCAAAATGACAAGTCCGGCTGGGAAACGCGGACCATCAGTCTTGGTATGAGCCAAACCAACACTAAATTCCAGTTGATAGTTGATGATTGCATTTTTGCTAATTTTGTCTCAGGTTACTGATTCTCGGGAACGACAACGCCCTTCCACAGCACGAAATAATCCTCAACGACCAAATGCCAATGGCTCGAATGCGCCTAGACCAACAAGATTCATATCAGTAGATAATGTTTTACAATACGCTTCTCAAATCCCATCAGGTCAAGCTCGAGGGCCACCGGCCGGACGAAGACCTCAGGCTCTAGATCAACGTCGCGCAAATGGTCCCATATCTGCTCGCATTGCACAGCAGAATGTTCCAGGTCGGAGTACAAAAATTAGCGAGAAATTGGTATTGATTCCAGATACGGTGGATGAAAAGGATGATTCAGAAACGGAAGAGATTATTGGGGCCGGAAACCAACAGCGACTTGATGGTGGTGGGGGACCTCCCACAGATGCTGAAAGGGACATTTTAAAGAAAAGAGGTGGTATCAGAGGAAAGAGTTACGCGGAACGTTTACCCAAAGCGAGGAGAGCAAACGAATTGGCTAGAGTTACTGCGTATTGCACGGCACAAGCATATAAAACAAAGGCCACGGCAGCTTTCGTCAAGGAGCGACACGGAGCCAAGACAAAGTTATACGATGATTGTCTCTATACAGTTTACCATTTACCTTTATTACCAGGTACCGAAGGATTCAGAGTACGAAGTAGTCCGGTTTTGAAAAGTCCAGGTGGAAAAGCAGTACTAGATGAAGAGATAGAAAGGAGTGAGAATCGAGATTATCATGAAGGGTATTTCGAGGATACGGATACATACGGTGTAAGGGGAGGAGAAGATAGTCCACGAAATGAAACCGACGAAGAAAGAATCACAAGGGAAGAAGGAGCCCGAAGAGGTAGAGAGGAAACCCATGTCTTTGAACAAGGCAAAAGAGCCGACAGTCCAAATCGAGTCGCGCCGGATGCGAAAACCTTTGCAGAAATGTTTGTCTTCTCATATGGAGTGGTGGTATTTTGGAATTTCACCGAGCATCAGGAAAAGGATATCCTTGCAGACTTGACGTTTGCTGCACACAACACAGATGTATCACTTGTTGTCCGACCTCAAGAGGAAGAAGATCTCGAAACAGAGGAGCTTCATTTTGAGTACAATTCCTTCGTTGATAGACCACGAATCTTTAATGATATGATAACCTTAAGGAGTGGTGATCATATGATTAAGCTAGCAATGAGTCATGCTATTGCTCAAAGTACGAAATTGAGTTTCTTTGAGGAGCGAATGTCGCAGACTATGCTAAGCGCAGAACATATTCCTAAGCACTTGGCCTTAACGGGCCAACTTGGTATGTCTCGTACGGAGATTCTCAAGATTCTTGGACGTCTCTTCAAAAGTAGGGTAGATGTCAATCTTTGTAAGTTATTACATCTGCTTTTCGCTTAGGTTCTTGCTAACATTCTCAAGCATCAAATATCCTCGACGTACCCAGTTTCTTTTGGGATTCCGAACCCACTTTACATCCACTTTACGAAGCCATTCGAGAGTATCTTGAAATCGGTCCCCGTATCACGACACTCAATGAGCGCTGTCGCGTTTTCTTGGACTTGGCAGAAGTTTTAAGTGACAGTATCGCAGATACAAAAATGAGCACAATCACATGGATTGTCATCATCCTAATCATCATTAGTATAGCAGTGACAGTCACAGAAGTAGGGTTAAGATTCATTATATTGGAAAAAGCGGGCGCAAGTGGTGGAAATTCTGTAGCGGGAATGGCTCTTATGGATAGAAATTGGTCGAGATTTGATTTTAGTAAGCCTCAGCTGGAAGCCATTTGTGGAGTGGGACACACGATTACGGAGCTTTGAACTGAGGACTCGGGAGATGTTAATATTGGATGTGGGGTAGATACTTTGTTCTTTTTGTATACTGGAAGGCTTGGCGCGGGTATTGGGAAGGGTGTCAAGTGTGTATAGAGTAGCTGTATATAATGTGCTTGTAAATATTGCTTAATGACAACCAGCGTTCATATTAATTATAATCGAGAAGACAAGAAGGAATTTTGCTAAAAACTTTGCTGTGAACTCTCGTAATGAGCATTCATTGCGTAATGTTTTGGAAGCTCAAGTCTCGCTTATAAGTTGATTGTTTGCAAGTAGACAAGGTCGTTCTTGTTTGGTTAACTTATGATTTGAATGGACTCCTATCTTTGATGGTTAGATTTAATTGGATGCATGTTTTGATCGATTAGTTCCCAAGCGGCGTTCCCAGAGACACTAGTCGTGAGTTTGTAGAAATTTTGGTCTCCACAAGGATCTCGATGGTATCCCGTCGTCGTTTTGTCGGTAATTAGTTTCTCTCGCTGATTGTTGTTTTGTTCTATGGTAAATTACTCTCGCGGCACTAAAAGTCCAAAATATCACTCTCATACCACTAAGATTAATATATTTTTACTCTCATATCACTTAGATTCTAGCATGTCAAACCTGATTCTATATAGATTCTATGCTTTCAATTCTAGCTTTCAACTATATATTCTAGCCCTCTTTTATGACTGCTAGCCTTTGATTGTAAATTACAATTTAAACTATAGATTCTAACTTTTAGATCGCATATTCTAGTCTAAAAACTACAGAACCCAGCTACTATAGAATCTTACTGGCGTGAGAGTAGATAAATTCACTTTTAGTGGCATGAGAGTAATTCGCCGTTTATTCTATTATTGTATTTCTTTTCAAGAATACCATGTATTTGTAGGTCATATCGTCTAATAAGATAATGGGTGCTCTCTTGCTAGATCGTTCATCAATGATTGTGGTTCCCGTGAATTTTCAAAAGATTCAGTCCTTGTATGAACAAGGGTTGAATGAATGGGCTTAAGTCATTCATAGCCTACAACAAAGGAGCTAGTCTTATAGCAAGGCCTATTTAAGGATTGCATCTTCCTGTAATTAGAATACACATTGAAAACCAGAGTCTACATCTTAGGTTCCACGCCATTCGTGTCCTTCTCAAACCAACAGTCCTCCATATCATTTAAGTGTCGAGGGGCCTTTGAAAAAATTAGTGATAGGGCTCTCATTCGTCGGTCAGTTGCTGGATTGTGTGTAGCAGACATCCTTCCAAACATCCACAGTCATATCATTTTCCGGAAACACGTGGAGCTACTGGAGGATCTAAAAAGCTTACCTTTGGATTCTATCCATTTAGGACCTACAAAAATCACTTAAGATCTCAAATCACATCATATCACAATCAAATAGAGCTTCAGCAATAAGATGTAAGAGCAGCAGATCAATTAGCTGAACCGACTTTCCGATATTCCCTACTCAAACCCATAATCCTATAACGAAAAGACTCCATCATGTCCAATAAATGCTCATACCCAGAAATCCGTTCATAAACCATAATCTCGTAAGTCATGAGTTTATAATACATGGGCTGACATATCCATATCCAAACCCAGCAACGAAAAAAGACGAAATCGATAAAGTATTAGCGGCCGATCTGAGTGGGTCGCCACAAAAAAACATTGTCCTGAATTTAGTTGAATGGTAGGTATCCTTTGACTGTTTGTCTAGATTGAGAAATACAGATTTGCAGAGTCGTTTATATCGAATATGAATCAACGATAAATGCTCAGATTTTCAACTATGATGGTCTTCCCAAAGAGGCCAATGTGATCGCCTCCACTCTACCAGACTATGTCCCCTATCTGCCAGGTCTTCGGGCAGCGGCAGTTGCCTTCTGAGCAGTAACCTTGGCCTTCCCATCCTCAGCCTTTGCCTTTGCGGCAGCTTCCTTTGCCTTCTTCTCCGCAACCTGACGAGCTTTCACATTATCCTTGTGATCTGGGTGTTTGTATCCACATCCGTTAGGACAGGTGTCGGAAGTGCGAAGAAATGTATAGTCCTTCTTGTCTGGACCAACAGCGCAAGTGGGGCAATAGCATTGGTGAGTGAGGCAGTATTTGAGCTGTTTGTTTGGTCCATATCCTTCCATGTGACAATTACCCGTCATTTTCTTCATACCGGGGCAGTGGTGAGTCTTGGCGGAATGTCCGGCAGGCATGATTAATTTTTAGTGATGTTGGAAAGTGGGCGATTTGGTGTATGATTCTGTGTTAATCGTGTGTTTGTAAATGACGTCTTGAGGATGGATGCTAAGTTGATAGAAGAAGTTGAGTTTCGTTAATGAAGAATTCTGATATGCGGTTGATGACTTCAAGTTTATGATGGAGGAAAGAAGGAGAGGCAGCCTCTGGGACAAGATATAGCCATCTTGATTGAATTACTGTACAGCTGATAAGAATCACAATCACATGTGGCAGTAACGGTAGTATAGCAATCTTAAATCGTTGTATTAAGATTACGGTGATGATGTGATTGATTAAGCGAGAATTGAATTAGGGGAGAGTTGAGACGATATAAACGGCTCATGCCGTATATGGAAGAAACAAGCACAAAAAGTAAGCTACGATAGATCATAATACAGGTATGATAATCGAGGGGAAATTGAACAATCCCAAAAGTAGCAACCATGCGGTATTCCCTCTACCGTACAAAATCATGAACAAGAATGATGCTTTTGAGAAATGTATGCTTTTATGAACACCAATGACTAGATCTTTGAGAAGCCAAGTTGAGGACTCACAATTTCGTATTGAAGAATGAGATCCGTCATTTATACTTAGCAATGATAGTGCGCTAAACAGTGCTACTCAAATTCTGTCACCAAGTCAACATTCACACATACGGCAAGGCAATTCACTTGATCATAGCAATTTTAATACGGTTTGTACGGTTCTATTCACAGGAGAATCAACCGTAACGACGTAGCCAAAGGGGTAAATGGGAACGTTCACGCAACTTATAAGCTTCAGCTAGGCCTTCCTGAATTCTTCTAAATCTTTTAATTCTAAGATTGATAAATTCATCTACTTTCACAACTTACCTTGTCAATAGTTCTCCAGGAATTCTCTACAGAACCCAAGATATTTCCCCAGTTCTCTAAAAAAAATCAAGAAAATAGACCTACTTCTATTCATAGAGCCACTCTACTTCCTGTTCCTCGCTAGATTTTCTAGGTCATTTACAAAACAACACACACACTCCCGAGACTATAACCTACGTTCATCATGGTTACCAAAGATTCCACAATCCATCATTGCCCCAAGAAGTCAAAAGGTAACTGTCGCCGAGCCTATACCCCTGGCCCAAACTCAAGACCTTATTGCTCGGCTCACATGACCTACTGTAAGGAAGGGGGCTGTAGATTGCTATATCTTCTAGACAAACAGCGCTGTGAGCGTTGTACTGCCACCACCCAACAAGAGGAGTTGCTAGCGAAGGAAACCGCTAAAAGGGAAGCAAAAGATAAAGAGAACGCTGGAAGTAATAAGAACGGCAAAGAAAAGGACAAGAAACTTCAGTCACAGAGCGTCAATAAGAAACTCAAGGTATGTCAATTAGTTCTCTAATCCTATGCTCTCGAGATCTCCCGAAATATATACGAGTATTCCTTTCTTTCCAGTGTCATCTAGTCACTGCGCAATGTAAGCTTTTGGTTCCATCTTAAATTTCCTGTTTGATAGACAATTACTAACTTGTGACGTTGTAGAGATAGAATGTTGTATTAGATTAGTAAGCTTTCAATATCACAAGCCGCTGATATATATTGATCTGATACTAATAATCTTCTGGGAATCAATATGGACGAGGAAAAGGTCTGGGTTTACTGCCAAGTATCAATATCAGGATGTTCATTAGTCTGGATATTCAGAACCTTTCAAACATTGAAAGAACTTCAGTTATCAATTCTATCTATTAAGATATATGGTTCTTATGGTGCTAGAGGATGGAGGGGATGTGGGATGGCTAGCGGCAGTTAGTATTAGCAAGAACTCTTAACCTCATAGCTAGCTATTACAACTTAATTCATAACTCATTCAATCTCTGAACGCCCCCATACTCTAGCCTTTGCTTTCCACTGACAATTCTCATAATAAGAGATAAAAAATCAATAAAGACATTCTCAGAATCTCAAGAACGGAATCTAGAGCGGAACTATTATCTGAATCATTGCAAATACTGTGAAATAATCATTAAAACAATTTAGGGAAATTATTTAGATGAACCTCAATTAATAAACAAGACTTATACACTTTATCCTACTTTATCCTGATATAATAATAGTAGTAGCAGTAATATTTATTTTCATTTGAGGAGATCTCTCGAGAGATATTTAGATATATTGAGCTAAGAATTTAAAATAATATATTACTTGTCAGGGGACTAAAAAACTATAAAGGGAGAGAGGGATTCTTTAATAAACAGTTCTAGATCCCTAGTTCTGTCACGGTGTGGATACACGTGACCGATAAGCGATAAGCTAGGCCCTGTTAGGCTAGCTTATAAGTGAAAATTCTGTATATCTTCATGTTGGAAGATCCTGTATCGTAGTTTTTCGAGCTATATCTTAATCTACACTCTGTATCTACTGTTCTTAGTACTGTCGAATATAGATTCCTAATTCCGTTTGCCTACCCTGTGATATTATATAGCTTCTATCAATATTATTGTAATAGCAATATCAGCTCTGTATCCACTTAATTATTTGAAGAATATCTCTAAATTCAGTATAGTTGTAATAGAGGATTCTTAAACTTAATATCAATATCTTCAGTTGGCAGCCGTATATACTGTCGGATTGGAAAAAGCCAATCTGTTCCTTGAATATAAGGTTTGGAAAATATCTATTAAAAAGATATATTGAAACCTCTCTGTATAAACAAATCACCGCATAAAATATCTGTTTACTCAATTGCTTTGCCAAATCTGTATCTATTTCTGTTATACTCTCTGAAACAATATCTGCTGAATTTATTCTTGAATTGTCTGATATTACTATATTCGTCCTATTCGCTATTGTCTATTTGAGTAAACACATTTCTGATCCCAAAGAATTTGATAATTCCCAATTCGATTTGCAAAGATTTGTTTAATAGATATATACAAAGATAAGCTCGAACTCTAATTATTTCCCTATTACCTCCACTCGCCTAATTTATATTATTAGAAAACTTATTAGAAAAGCTTATAAAACTGATTCTCCCTAAGATTATTTACAATATTCTACAATTCACCAACTATAGCCTACTTTTGAAATATTTAAAAACACTTTTAGGGATTCCGATCGCAAATAGAATGCTCAGAACTAATTATACCTATTCAAACAAAAATATCTCGATTTCAATATCTACTTCGCCAAATTCCAGAGACTAGCTCTGAAAGGCAAAATGCTTAATGATACCCTGACCCTATTATTATTCCAAGGAATCTCCCGAGAACTACAAGATATACTATTTCACAATCTATTCCTATTCTATAATTTCCAGAAATATTCTGTTTATCTGTAATAACTCGATAATCGATTCTATTAACACTAACAACAAATCTCTCAGAATTGTTCTATTGCTTTTGTTTCCGCTGAGAGAAAGACTTTTGTTCTATTATTCAAATCTATCCGTAACCCTGTAATCCAACCTTTCTATATAAATAAGACTACTCTTCTACTTGCTCAGGGAGGAGATTCTATGGATCTCAGCTTTCAATATTGTATTACTAATAATAGTTTGTTTTAAAAGGAATGAGGAGAATATTATTACTATAGTTCTATTAATTATTTGATTCGAGATTGCTTATATCCTGATACCTATTCTATCTAGTTCAGAATTGGGACTTCCAGTTTACTCAGATACAATCTCGTTTCGAGAAGTCTATTAATAGGCAGAATATCTATCCGATCCTTGCCTTGCTCTTTGCTACAATTATTGCCCCACTCTCCGATTAGCTTATTCAAATCGGGAAATGGGACTGCCTGATTTAAATCGCTATCAGGATAATCCTCTGTATAAACTCCATTGTCTATTGTTATCACCCAAGGATTATTCTTGGAAAATGAATTGAATAATTGTGCGGATCTAATAATCCTATTTATTATCTTACTTTTGGGGAGAGAAACTCTTTCGATTTATATTATAATAAATAATGGTTGTAAAAGGACTGCCTTTGCTAATCGAAGTTGGATACTGTTCTAGAAGATTTCTAAACACAAACTATCTACTGCCTTCGAAGTTATTAGATTCGATAGCAAAAATTCTATTTGAAAACCGGATTATATTTTATATCCATATTAAATTTAGAATTAATAACCATACCGAGAAAAGAATCACCTTATATATGACTAAACTAGTCTATTACTCTATGATATTGGGTATAGTCTGGCTTAAGAAGTATAACTCTCGTATTGACTTTGCAATAAACTCCTTCCAATTCGATAGTCTGTATTGCTATAAATTTTATAATACTTTATTTTACCCATTTTGAATAAAAGTTCTTCCCGATATTTCTCTGAAAACCCGATTTATATATCTATCCGATTGCTCTGAAGACTTTAAGGATCGAGATATAGCTGTGATCTCCCTAAAGGTCTATTCTGTATACACCTGCCGGAAGTATGAAATGTTTCAGATCTTTATTGAATAGATTGATGATATCTGAAAAGAAAAAAGAGTTTGATTCAAATAATTTCTTATCTGAGTTTCGAAATTGGAAAAATGTATTTTTTTTATAGAATGCTAACAAACTGTTACCATACTGATTATATAATCATGAAATCCGATTCCAAAAGGGATCTGTATTATCTTTTGGAGCTCTATATACTATGTCTCAAATTGAATTCAAAGTTCTAAAAGAATGGCTAAAGGAAAACCTAAAGAAAAGGTTTATTTATTCTAGCTTTTCCTTTATTGTATCCCCTATATTATTTATCAAGAAAGCTAATGGAAATCTTTGTTTCTATATTAATTATAGAGCTCTGAATAATCTATCCATAAAGAATCGATACCTATTATCACTGATTAAAGAATCCTGAATAACTTGAAAGAGATAAAGTATTTTAGTAAGATTGATATTATCTCTATTTTCAACAATATCAGAATCAAGGAAGGATAAGAGTATCTGACTGTATTCTATATCCGATTTGATCTATTCGAATCCCTGGTTATACTA